ATGGTCTCTTTGGTACGCCCCTCCTCCATTGCCGGCCCTCTTCCTTGGTGACAGTCTTGTCAAACTGGTTGAAAACAATGAAGCCTGATGAAGCCTTCTGGATCGAAAGCAAAACGTTTCAGCACAAAAAAGAAACTGTCCAGATGACCTGACTGAAAAATGTTGGATTTTATACCTGGATTATTGAGCATGGACTTTGTTGTTTTTGGCTTGATCTGATGATTTCATCCATTCTGAATTAAAATACTGAACACTACCATTTTTAGCCACTAGAGGGCCCTTGACTAATATGGCAAGCCAAGTGTCTCATTAATAGGTAAAAGTGGCTATTAATGAGACACTTGGCTTGCCATACCAAGTCACCTTCGTCTCGCTATGGAACTCTTTGAGCAAACATCAAATCAGCTGCATTTCAGCTGGAAATGCAGCTGATTTCACCGTCAAAGTGCATTTATTAAGCAAAAGTTAGAATGAGACACACCTTTACTATAATATCAAGTAAACAAATAATTGTTTTTAAGTGTTAATCTTGTTAAATTCTTGTTAAAGTCCTCCCGTGCACATTCCCGTGGCCGCCATTTGGCAGCCAATCGATTTTTGGCACAACACCGGCCCACATTTCTGGGTTGTCAGCGGTGACGCATAATAGATGCGACGTATACGGCAAAGCAACATATTTGGGTTTTTTTTTCCACTTTATTAGACATATTTGGACTGATGCGACTTATAAGGCAGTGCGACATGTACGGCAGCAAGTACGGTCTTTCCTTTTTGATAACTCCTATAGTTAGGGATGGCTTGGGTTTCCTGAGCTATCCCTTAGTTATGCTGCTACAGGCTTAGACTGCTGGAGGACAAACTGACCACATTTCTTCACTCTGTTACTATCTTTATGTGCTCTATTGTTCATGCTAGTATTTGCAATAGTTTTTTATCATTAATGTGTGTTTATCTTTGTCTTCTTCACCATAGGTAGTACATCTGAACCAGCATGTGTTTGTCTGGATTGGTTTCTTGTCCTCCCTTTTCCAGCCAGTCGATGCAGATGGCAGCCTCTCCTGGGCCTGTTTTTGCTTGGGGGCTTCTTCCTATTTAAAATGATTTTTTCCTCTCCACTGTCACTTTTGTGCTTGCTCAGGATGGAAGGTTCCAACGAAGTGGAGATTTGATGTAATCTCCTGGCTTCCCAAGATAACTTACTAATTTTATAATGTATGTCTATATTTTCAGAATCAGAATCAGAATAAGCTTTATTATCATTGCACCGAGATACAACGAGAACATGCACATGCAGTCATCCGGAAGATGGACGGAGTGCACGAAGCTGCTGCTGCCTTTCTTATCCTTGTCAGATAATAATCTTAGATAGGAAAAGCGGGAGAAACATGAGGGTAGAGAGTGGTATTACAACAAAAGATCTTTCACATCTTGTCTATCAGGACACGAGTTGAGACATCAAAAAAACTCTACCAGCAAGCACAATTAAAATATGATTACATATGCATTTGATGCCGAGGTGTTGAGATTAGTCTATGAGCGCTTTTCGGATCAGCCACAGTTTCTGAGGATGTTGTTTCAGCCGACAGTTCTGATAAGCTTGCACAGAAAGTTCTCGGGGAGGGGGGGGGGGGGGGTAATAGAAGAAGCTTTCTTCCTTGGTTACCCATGACCCAGGAGAAATTTAATAGTCGGCCCGTCTCCGAGGCCATCGGGGAGTCAGATTCAGATAAGCTTGATTGTTGTTTTTCTTCAGGCAGACAGATTACTTTTTTCCAGCCTTGAGTCCATCTGGACGTTCTGGTTCCAAAAAGGCCTAATTGTAGGAATCCATTCCACTGATCCATGCTATGAGTCTCCCTCAAGGTCGATCCCACCACGCTGACGAGCCCCAGAAGCCGCAGGTGGCCTGCGATTCTCATAAATCGCCTCCACCTTATGGTTTAGCTCGTAAACCAGTTGATTTAGAGTTCTTATAGCACGGACCAAACCTTCACACTGACTCGGAAGCTTTTCCATGGACGAAACAGCTGCCGATGTCTTTTTCAAAAGTCGATAAAACAGAGCCCCGCCGATGCCAAAAAGCAGAGTCCCTGCTATCATAATTCCAAATATGTAAACATCTTCAATTCAATTCAATTCAGTTTATTTATATAGTGCCAAATCACAACAAAGTTGTCTCAGGGCACTTTACAGAAACATTCACATACATAAAAGCCAATTAGTAAAGTTCTCTATCTAAGGAATCCAGCAGACAAGTTGAATCTTGGCTTTGTTGCAGTCTCCCATCCTGAGCAAGCACAGTGGCAACAGTGGAAAGGAAAAACTCCTTTTTAAAAGGACGAAACCTCCAGCAGAACCAGGCTCAGGACAAGCGGCCATCTGCTTTGACCGGCTGGTTGAGAGGACAGGAAGGAGAGACAGATGAACATAGAATAGTAGGTCCAGGTATAGGTCCTTCAACATCCTCCTGAGGCAGGACTGAGAGGCACATCAGCTGCTACACTCCCCACGGATCCATGACGTACCCCACAGCATGCGTCTCAGCTGGACACGTAGGTTCTCCAGGACCTTGTCGCATATTTTTTTACAGAGCCTTGAGACTACATTTGCTGTAAATTGACGACAAATAAACTGAATAGAAATTTCAAATTTACTAATTTTCGTACAATAAATGGTCAATGGACTGTACTTATAAAGCGCTCTACTATCTTATCAAGATACTCAAAATGCTTTACAACATAATCTGTGCCTCATTCATACAGCACTCTGCTAGATCTCTACAAAGAATAATCAGAGCTTTATCACATTCATACACTGATAGGACACACATAGGAAGCAATGAGGGGTTCAATGTCTTACCCAGGGACACTTCGGCATGTGACTGCTGGTGGAATCTAACCCCCAACTCTTGCATTGGAGGACGACTGCTCTAACCACTCAGCCACAGCCGCCCCATGATAATAGTCAGAACTGATATCTAACACATATCCTGAGCAATAAAAGATGGTGTGAGGTCTATGTTTAAAATGTTGCCATTGCAGTCAACTCTGTTAGCAAAATATATCATGAATCATAGGATGGAGTGGCAAACTGTTTTCAAGACGAACACCATTTGTTTTAACCAACATAAAAACAGCAATTACCGGTATTCAGTCACTTTTAGAGATTTTGTGCTAAAATTTGTTGTGTTAGTAGCAGTTAGTCATTCACAACTAATACTATGAATGTGACATTAAATGAGATCACACAAATTTTAAACATTTGATTAAAAATGTCTACAATTTTATTTCTCAACATAAGATAATCCTCATCTAGATATTAGACAAAAAAGGTGATGGGCGATATGCATTCCTTCCAGGAATGCTGACCTTTTAATTCTGACCAATTATTACGTATTCAATTGACATTTTTCCACCCTGATTAGTACTTCATTATTTATTCACTCTGATTGTTACTGTGTGTTCAAGTCATAGTTGAATTGGGGGTTTCCTCACCGAGTCAATGAGTGTGTACGGGGAGTGTACATTACTGAGGGCCGAGTACAGCGGCAAACTGAGACGGATGGTGTAGTTCAAACCAGATTCGAAACAAACTGGCCTTGGAAGAACCACATACCTGTAGACACAAAGTTAGCATCCTCTATTAGTTCATTGCTGAAATACTGAAACATGTCAGATTAAAACATGAATTACTTCTTCATGACTTAACATAGTAAGTTTCTTTAAGCTGCTCCCTTCTTCAGGGGTCACCACAGAGAGCAACCTCACATGAAAGATTTGGCAGTTGTTATATGCCAGATGCCCTTCCTGATGCAGCCTGAGCTCAAACCCCATTGGTGTCAGAAGTATTTGTAATGTGTGGGGGACACACTGGTGTGTGTGTGTGGGGGGGGGGGTCCTCCTCCAGAAAATTTTGAATAACGTAGATGCCTTATCCTGCATTCTGGTGTATTTTAATTAGTTATTAATCGTCTACGTTTACCTAAATAAGTAAACACTTGATTCAATAACTATGTTAAGTAGCACAGTACAAGACGTAGTCTGATCAACAGTTCTCCTTGTGTGAAGGAGCACGCTCCGCTTCTCTCAAGCATCCTAGTATGCGCCCCCCCCAGCACTAAGCTGGTGGGGGCACAATACAGGCATGTTAACTAATATGCTACAGACATAGTGCTCTGCTTCTCTCACACATATTCACACTTCCATCCTAACCCCCGTCAACAACTGCCAGAACTAACATGGCGCTAAGCTTGCATGCAAAACAGAGGTGTCTCCCCCTCCACCCCCCTGTGAGCGGATTCAAGGCAGATGACTGAGGAGAAACTCTGCATGTGGTGTGGGTTTGTTGTAGGTAACAAGGAAAACCCAGAGTGGATTTTTCATGGTTTGAGTATTCTCCATAGAGCTGTCATTTCTAACCCAAACCCGGAGCTCGGTGTCAGACTTTTGATTGCGTCAGAGGATGTGCGCGGCTGACGATCCAATTATGGCAACATGGCGTGCCATACAATCACTAAACGGTCAGCATGTGGCCATTTGACCACGTGCAGACCAGCCTTGAAAGAGGTTTTAAAAAATCATTTAAGCTTCAGATGGGACTATACTGCCAAGCAGCTATCCATCAAAACCCAAATGGACGTTCAGCCACTGCACTCAGTGGACGCACACGGCCGATGACCCAAACAGGTGAGATCCCAAAATATCCGACATGTCAGAGCAGGGTCCGTGTCTGAATAATGCAGAATGCAGCAGAAGCAGGGATTTAAAGCGCTTTGACGGCCATGAAAGGACAAACGCCCCCTCAGCTCCGATCTTCTGCCCCTTTTACTCTGCCACGTGTGTCTGCCAACCATTAATAACTATATAAGCAGTCAAAGCTTAATTAAAAATGTCAGGTTTTTTTTTCGGGTTCAGACCTGTAATTACTGTTAATTCGTCAGGTCGGGTTTGGGTTCAGAAATGATGGTTACGGGCTGGGGCCCGGTCGGGTCGGATTTTTTGGGCCCGAATGCAACTCACCTTCTTCATCAAGTGGAATGAATTTGTTCACGTAGCAATAGAAACAGTGCTGGGTGAACTAATATTTCATGGCATATGTGTGTGTGTGTGTGTGTGTGTGTGTGTGTGTGGGGGGGGGGGGGGGGTGTTCCGAATGAATATTTTTTAAATGTGGGAGGACACGTCCTCTTCACATATAATTATTGTGAAGCTTATGTCAAATCCACAACCTCAGTATTACAAGACAACAGCACTGACCACTAAGCTGCCGCAGCCCCTGCACATTTTAACTCTTGCAGAGTTGCTTCCTTAACTAAAACTGCAACATCTACCTCATGTTTCAATAACTTTTATTTGGGATCTTTTCTGTTGTGAGGCCAAACAATGTTACACAATTCCTTAAATCATGTTTCTAAGACTGATTGGAATGCATTTCTCTCAAACTTGCAGTTAACCTGAAACATTCAGCAGAATCTACAAACCCTATAATGTGAATGAAATGGGATGGATTGTTGATCCAGCACCAGTCATTCTGACTTAAGCTAAATTTTTTTAGATTAATGATGCTGTCTGCTGACCGTGAGCTTGGGTGGAGTGAGATCATTTGGTTGTCCTCGTCAGGTACAGTGTTGACACAGCGGCTGTCAGCTTTGATTGGTCCAGGTCTCAACACTGTCATCAGAACCTCCTCCCATTGGTCCGGAAGCTACAAATCCAAACCATTAAAGTGACATAAAAAAATTAAAAAGTGACAACAAAGTGGTGCATAAAATACTTTTATGAAGGAGGTTAAGGAGCATTAAGTGTAGAACCACTAGACTGAGGAACAGCTTCTACCCTGAGGCTGTTAGACTCATGAATATCTAACTAGAATAATCACTGTGAAAAATCATATCATGTTGCTGCTGATCTGTTTCATGTTGCTGCTGATCTGTTTCAATGTTGATGTGTTCATGCGTGCACATCTGCTCACAGACTCATGTTCATGTTTGTGCTGATGTTCAATGTTTTATGTTATGAGTGCTTAGTGTATATTTAGTTGATGTTTTTCTTAGTTCATATCTTAGATGTTATTACTGTTTTTCTTAGACATTTTATTGTTGGATGTAACTGGGACCCCGTGTACATAATTTCGCTCCACCACATGTACCACATGAGGTGTGAATGACAATAAAGAAACTCTGACTCTGACTCTGACTCTGACTTTAGCCTCATTAAAGGATATAGCAAATGGCACAACACGCAGAGAGCGTGTATTTAGAGACAGAGAGGATTTTCTGGCCCACGATGACGATGGGCTCATCAGCCGTTTCAGGATTCTAAGGTCCTATTGGAGCTGTGCTTGGAGCTGCAGCTGGTCTTGAAGCGCGACACAATGAGGAGCCATTTGCTGCTACATCCAGCTGCTGACCACACTGGGGTTCCTATAGCAACAGGAGTTGCTATAGGAGCTGGCAGACTGATCAGGACTGTGCCAGTGGATCCTGAGCTGGGCCATGCCAACTGTGTGGGATGTAATTATCTGTAGGTAGATCAAGTTCACTGCTGTACAGTTGAACAGACCAACATTAAAGTGACAGTAACAGCCGGTTTTCTTAATGTAACCAGAGCTATAGACTGCACACACATTTCTATAAAAGCACCATCACAGGATGAATGTGTTTATGTTAACAGGAAATATTTTCAATCAATCAATGTGAAAATTATATGTGATGCTCAGAAGAAACTAACCAAGATGTTGACGAGGTGGCCTCAACACACCATCCATTCATTCTAATGAACAGCATGGTTGGAACAGACTACAAGCTGGCACGGTGCAGGATAGGTGGCTTCTTGGGGAGTAAATTTATTTAATCGTCCTTAGATTAATCCCCCTGATGTGCATGGACCCTGTTCGCCCCCACATATCATCCTGTCTTCACCGTATCATTAGTGAATCTCTAGTCAGTGGTTCAAGTGAGTGACTTCCTGTTTTTTGTTGATTAAACTACAGTTTCAAAGCGTTCTACCAAGCCCCTGGTTGTCTCTGTAAGTGAATGCAGCAGTGTGTCAGAGAAAGGCTGAGGCGTTTACTGACATAACTACTAAACACACAGTGTTGTCCATGTAAGAAGCAATGGGCAGTTGTCCTCCGCTTCACATCCACCTTTATGTCTGACCATTTTTTCTAAATTTCTGCAGGTGCACACTGCTCTGACCCCACAGCATTTACAGCTTCTGCCCCACTCACTCCTGTTGCCCTTGGTACTAATGCCAGAGGACAGTGTGCCAAACAGAATGTTTTACGTGTTTCTACCTCATTTAGAAGCGTCTCCAACTCACATTCAATGAAGTTCATTTTTTACCGTGTGTAGACATGCTATAAGATAGCATAGAGAGGGGATTCCTCAGGTGCAGATCAGTTTGAAATCTATCTGCATATTTAAATATAGGCTTGTCAAGGGAGGAGTCAGGTATTCCCTCATGTGCACTCAATTCCACGTTGATTGGGATGTACAAAAGAAGTGTGTCTGGATTCATGTGTATGCACGGTTTCATACATCTGGATTAATTTGTGTGTAAGCTGTTTTCTCGATTTAAGCGTACGCCATGTTTCAGTAGGAACTGCACACAAGTTTTTGTACATGAGGCCTCAGGATTGGGGAGAACTGAACATATACCACCAAAACCTGTTTCCTCAATCTTAAAGCAGGACTGATTACAGTACTCCTTCCCCCAATTGTCTTGATAAAACACAGTGGTGCTGAAAAACCAGATAGGAGCTGCTGATTGACTTAGATTTAATGAGGTCAACATGTCTTTTTGGTGAAACTACAGTCTGAAATTAATTAGGGAACACTTTGTTTATTTGAGCCACTTATCATTTAACTATTTTCTAAATGCAATGTCAGTAAGTCTGAAGTTTGAGAATTTTATATAATCACAAATTTATGATAGATTCTTTATTTTTCAGGGGTGTTGAGCTAAAAGCTTAAAAGTTGGTGGGAAGAGCCCATTTTACCTGAGGCTCGTAGCGGATGACGATGTCATACTCCATGGAATGGGGAATATTGTCTACAGAGAACTCCAGGTAGGCCCCCTCTGGAACGTTGACCAGACCAGTACCTGTCCAGGTGGGACTGTGATCATACGGGTGTGGCCTCGGGACCACCATCACTCCCTACAGAGACACAAGGATAAAACCCAATGAGACCTTGACCAAAAACTATTTTAGCTAGGAAGAAATCAAAGAACAACTGTTAGGTTTCTGAGATGCTAAAATCTAGAAAAAATATTTCAAATTTTAAAACAAATATAATGATATTCTTTGTGAAATTAAAGGTAATGGTACGCATAGAAATGTAAAAAAAAAAAATACACAGAAACAACAGAAAAAAATCTTCATTTTTGTTTTAAACTCAATAGAGGCACAGTCGTCTATCGCTACTTTGCGGTTCATTTATCGCGGATTCGCTCTATTGTGGTCTTTCAAAATAAGTTTGGACTTGACACACAATTGACTGACTGATGGGATGAGCTGCACGATCAGCATTAAATTTTTACTTAAAATAAATTATTTTAAATTATTTAGCACCTGCTGCACATTTGTGCAGCCCAGAACTGCAGGATAAACTTCCTGCTGCAGCTGATCAGTTGTTCACCATGCAGAGTGGAAAAGTGGGCGTGGCCAAGAACGCTTGTAGGTCGCAAAGAGCAGAGGAGACAGGGAGCTGAAATCATGACATTCTGTGCTCTTTTAGAGCGTTTAGGGTTTAGAAACATTGTTTAGAATACTGCAATAGTGTGGGAAGGGTTTAAAACACCATATATATATATATATAATAAAATAAACTACTACTTACTACTTTGCAGTTTTTCACTTATCTTGTCTTCATGGTATGGATCCCCCACGATAAATGAGGGACTACTGTATCAAAAAATTATGCAGCTTAAATAAAATTACTGAGACATTTGTCTTACTGATGCCAAACTTCCTCTGTGATGTTTACATGAGGTTGGGCCAAATTTTAAATCAATACGTTGTTTCTCGAGTTTGTCAAAAGTCGCTTGTTACGTCATAGTTAAAATGATATAAAACAGACATGAGTATCCAAAGAGGCTTTGCAATATTCACCTACAATAAAACCTTGTTAGACTTTTATCAGCCATCTGAACACTTTATTTCAAAACATTTGTACATGTCTGAACTTTGTCAGAAAGACCATGGTAGTACTCAAATGAATCAACAGGGATTTATTGTAGAGAAGCTAATAAGAGTCATTTGCTGACTTTTGTTTTTTGGGGTACACGTCTGACAAAATTCTCAGTTCAGGTCAACAGGATCTGGACATTGTTGAGATGTCTCTTCAATGTCCTGTAATTGACAGGGACAACTCCAGTAGAGCAGCGGAGCCGCATGGCGGTCCCTGGTTTTTTAAATGGGGACCAGAGAATGCGTTTCAACACTCAATGGATCACACTTCTCGGCCTCCTTTGGAAAGTTTACTGTACGGTGTTTAGAGAGAGGCTTCAGCTGATTATCAAACCTCAGATTCAGGAGAATGGTAAATGGTAAATGGACTGTACTTATATAGCACCTTTCTATCTTATTTCAAGATACTCAAAGCTCTTTACAACAATCTGTGTCCTCATTTAGCCCTTCATACAGCACTCTACTAGATCTCTACAAAGCTAATTGAACAAATCATTCTAATGAGACTAATCAGTGCTTTTAGATCACGTTCATACACTGATGGGACACACATCAGAGGCTATGAGGGGTTCAGTGTCTTGCCCAGGGACACTTCGGCATGTGACTGCTGGTGGGTTCGAACCTCCAACTCTCGCATTGGAGGACAACTGCTCTAACCACTCAGCCACAGCCGCCCCGAAGAAGCAGTGTGGCTTTCACCCTGGTCAGGAAAAAGTGGACTAGATCTCACTCTTGTCTAGTTGCTACGGGGGTCATGATAATTTATGTTTTGCGGATTTGGAGAAGACTTGCAACTGTGTTCCTAGAGGCATTTTGTGGGATGTGCTGTTAGTGTATGAGATATCGTGGTCACTATTGAGGACTATTTGGTTCCTACATGATTAAAGCCAACACTGTGTCCACATTCTTGGCACAAAGTCGAGCTCAATTTTGGTGCAGGTTGGACTTCATCAGGGCTGTCCCTCGTCTACGATTCTGTTTGTGGTGTTCACCGACAGGATCTCAAGGCACAGTCATGGAGAGGAGGGTGTCTGGTTTGGGAACCTCAGGATCTCTTCTCTGGTTTTTACAGATTATGTGGTTCTGTTGGTGTGTTTGGTATGACCAAGATTTGTGTACGTCCTTCAACATTTGCAACCAGCTTCAACACATTTGCATGTGTTAGAAGCCAGTTTCTGGGAATTCACGAGGAGGTTGGCTTGAAACACATCAAGGAGGTGCTATTTATATGGTCCAGATCTGGTTGGCAGGCTGCAGACTGATGAAGTCTTTCAGATGAAAGGTGAAATGTTTCTCCCTTAAAGAAACTTGTCCAGATGTCACAATTTAACCTTTTTTGTAATAAAATAGTTCCATACCGAGTTTTTAAAAAAAGATTTGATCTTCTGAAAATTAGTTTTTATCTATATCTTAATAAATTAATTTTGTAAATGCCCCAGTTATACTAAAAGTTTCGACTGTTTTGGTGTCTATTTAATTGATTTTTGTCTTTTTGTGGTAATCTTTTTAACTTCTTTTCATGTGGGAGAGGACCTTCAAAATAAAACAAAGTTCAAACAGCTTCTAGTTCATGAAAGGTCAAAGGTTCGAGTCTTAACAGTTACTCACAGGTCCAAACTTGGCATTTTCAGCTTCATAGGTGTAGTGATCCAGAGCAATAAAGTAGAACCCAGACTCAACCTGGTCGCAGCGACGACCAAACATGTGATCTTTGCAGACGCACTGACCATTTACCTGATCACACCTGCAGACAAACAGGATAGGAAAGGAGTTATCATTGAAACACAGCTGTAAAAATGTTTTCTGACAACATGCTGGACGCCACCGAGGGCTCATATTACATTAAGAATATTAGCATTTCTTGTCACGTTTTTTGCCCTTGTATTCCACAGTCTAGTTTAGTTTTCATCTTTTCAGTCCAGTAATACCTATCGCCCTTCCTCATCTCCTATTTCCCTGCACCACACCTCCTCTGCTCAGTCCCTCATCAGCACTCATTAGTTCCACCTGCTCTGCTCCTTTTTTTAAGCTCAGCTCTTTCTCTCACCCAGTGCCAGATTATCGAAAACCCTCAAGCCAGTAGATGCCCAGGGTTACTACCGCAGTCTTGTTTCCTTGCCTTGTTTTGACCCTCTGCCTGTACCACAAACTCCTCGCCTTGCCTGCCCCTTTCTGGATCTGGATTCTGCTTTCTGACCACAGTACCGACTAACTTCAACTAACTTCTCCATCTTAACAGACCGGCCCTCCCCTTGGACCCGGACCTCCACCAGCAGCTATTCTCTAATAAACTGTTTAAATCGTTCCTGGTGTTGTGTACTGATCCAAAACTCAGGTCTTGTAAATTTCTATACTCTTCCCTCACTCCTAGAATCGGCTCCCAACCAGATGACAGGAAACAGTTTGGTGCACAAGAAACTAAACTACTTACCTTGTGTGCACAGCGAACATTACTTGTGCACACCAGAAAAGCATTGCTATGAACCAGAGAATCTCCTGTGAAATTCAATGTCTTTGTTTTCAGCATGGAAAAGGAAACTAAGCATTTTGACCTATATTACATTTGGACTGGAGACCTGTCTAGTGTGTCCTAGGGCTGGGTACCTTTCTAAAAAAATTGGTACCGGTGTCGGTACTTTCACTTCAGTATCGGTTCCTGGACGGTTCTTTTTTCGGTAACAATTTTGTAATTAATATTAATTCTAACAAGAATAAAATTATGTGACACATTACAGTACAAATTGTGAGTTTTATTTTTTAACAACACTCACAGGCTGACTTTAATGCTGAGCGAGGAGGAGGGGAGGCTGCTGTCCTTCTCTCTCCTTGCAGAAAAACACGGAGCAACTTTCTTCTCGTAAGCATAAAGTTGCATGCGTTGTCGAAGTCGTTCGACAACACACGCGCTGCACACGTGAACCCTGTCTGCGGGCGTCACCAGCACCATAGACATACAGCTATACGACAGCTCTATACAGCTTTGGGTGTAAACATGTAGTCTGTTTGTCATATGTCTGTGTTTTACCTGCCGGCGTGCTGAAACCACGTGACACTTTACAGCCTATACCGAAACTTGACACGAAAAAAGAGTGACAATTCAATACGTATACTGACCGGTGCAGTTCAGACGGTGCTATAAAAGAACCTCGGTTCGGTACTCAGCCCTAGTGTGTCCCCCGCCTCTCGCACAGTGACAGCTGGATATGTGCGCCAGTGACCACCGTGACCCGAAAAGGAAGAAGCAGGAAAAGATAATGGATGGATGGATGATTTTAAGAAGATGAATACAGTATTCCCTCATTTATCGCTGGGGATCTGTACCCTTAAGACCCGTGATAAGTGAAAAGCCGCGACGTAGAAATAGTAGTACAAGTAGTAAGTAGTAGTTTATTTTAGTGTGTGTGTATATATATGTATATATATGAGCATGTTAAATCCTTCCCACATTCTTGCAATGTTTTAAACAATGTTTCTAAACTCTAAAAGACACAGAATGTCATGATTTCAGCTCCCTGCCTCCTCTGCTCTTTGCCACCTGCAAGCGCTCTTGGCCACGTCCACTTATCCCCTCTGCACCGAGAACAGCTGATCAGCTGTATCAGGATAGTTTATCCTTTTTTTTTTTTCCCTTGTCCTGTCCGGCATTGTGGACAGGACAAGGGACTGGGCTGCACACAGGTATTGCAGGTGCTAAATAATTTTAAATTTATTTCAAATGAAAATTCCATGCTGATCATGCAGCTCATCCATCCATCAGCCTATTGTGTGTCATGTCCACTCTTACTTTGAAAAACCGCAATAGAGCAAGTTTGCGATAAACAAACCGCGAAATAGTGAGGGACTAATGTATATATATATTTCTGAAGCCATTCTCTATAGAAGTCTGAGCTTAAAGACATTTGACTTGTTGGCTACCAAGAGCCAAACAAGTCACCAAATGGATTCTTGTGCACTAGAGATGGAATATATGGTTCTTTTATATGGAACACCAACATGCTCAAAATTAAATAAATAAATAAAACATTAAGAAATAAGAAAAATGTTAATTTTTATTGTTTTATTTCATAATTGTGTTTTTCATGATAGCTTATGTATTTCATAATGACTCTTTTCAGCTGAATTTTCAGAATTACTTCAGCTGTCAATCAACGTCAGTGGGTTGGACCTGCACGCCCACTGGCTGATCATTAGTTTTCCTGAATACCTGCTCACTGATAGCTAGCATAGCAGCTAGCAGCTACTTGCTAGGTCAACAGTCATGATGAATGGCAGAGTTTCATGAACTTCGTTCAGCTCAGGTAACTTTAGCAGATCAAACTGAGAGGATTACATTCTCAGAAGATACAGATGTCGTGACAAAAAGTGGTGGGCTGCCAAAAATCAATTGGTGTCACAAGAGCGCGCATGGGAGGACTTGCTAGCTGCTATGATAGCTGTATCAGTGAGCAGGGGACGTGCTGGTCCAACCCACTTACCTTGATTGACAGCTGAAGTCATTCTCCTGAAGAGTCATTATGAAATAAATAAGCTATCATGAAAAACACAATTATGAAATAAAAGAATAAAAATGAACATTTTTCATAATAATGTGCTTAGATATGTATTTCATAATGCTTTATTTCTTTAATTTTGAGCATTTTTGTGTTCCATTAGGGGCTGAACGACTACATATTTTTTAAAGTCGACATTAACATGATAATAGTTAGTGTCGACTAGTTGATGACGTCATAGGAACTCAAGACACTAAAAAAAGTAATTTATTATTTACCAAAAAAGAACAACAAAACATTGGGAGCGTATATTTATGCTCCCACCATTTATCATACTGCAAATAAGTAACAGGAAAACCAAAACTATTAAGCTGCAAAAGTTAAGTTTTATTTTATTTAATCCACCAAATAAAATAAACCACCGTGGCAGTTGTGGATTCTCTACCGGTGGTGGTGCGAGGTGTACACTGCACGTGATGCATGGTGGATTCTCCGGTGGTGGACACCCGTTTTTATTTTATTTAGTGGATTAAATAAAATAAAAATAAAAACTATCCGCCGGTGGTGTGTACAGCAACTAATACACACATGGTGGGGTGAGCGGTGGTGAATTCGCTGGTGGAGCGCATGCCTGTTTTTATTTTATTTAGTGAATTAAATAAAAAGAAACTAAAAACAACATAATCTTTAGTGAAATACTTCCACACTGTTGATGAATTTCTACCTGTTTGGGAAGACTTGGCCTGCTTCTCTCCTTCCATCTGCTTGGAAGAATCAGTTTTGTAGCCAGCGGCCGAGCCAATCACGTGACACACCCACTGACTGCGACTAGTTAATGTGAAATTAAAACATTTCACGAGATGCCCTGAAGTCGTCTAGTCAACTAGTCGATTCAGCCCCTATGTTTCATACTTTTAGGTCCAGTTTATACAATGCGCTTTTTGAGTGAAACCGCAGCTTTCTGCTGAAATTCGGCCATTCACAACAGCAGCCCCCGGTCTCTCAGACACTGAAGGTTCCTGATGTTCAGAGGATCCCTCTGTGGAGGTGTGAAATACTTCAGGTGTAAAATTGCACGTGCGCACTACAGGTGGCTGCAGTCAAAAGTTTTATTGGACTAACAACAAATACAATAAATGACAGAGAGAAGTGTTTTTGTGCTACTCATCCTTTTTCAATCTCTGTTGTTTAAGTCCTTTACACCTGTTTTTATTAACTGTTATATACAAACCTATTTGTAAATTGGTTTTATTTTTATTATTGGAACGAAGAGGATGCACAAACTATTAGTGCTCAGAGTGTGTGTTGGGGATAAGTCTCAGATACTACCAGGTTTACTACAAAGGGTACACAGTTGTAGATGTGCATTTGGTGTTACTTTCTGAAAGTTTAGTTAAAATTTGTTAAGTGGTTCATGAAATATTTCAAAAACGATAGACACACAGATACAAAAATATTTTCCTTCACAGCCAAAAAGTGAAAGATGGACGATGACAAAAGGGCTCTTTTAGAAAACTCCTCAAGACAGGGTTAGACTTCTTCAGGATCACCTCGTATTATCCGAGTGGACCGAGGAGGTGAGAAGTCAACCCACCCCTGACCCACTCCCACTCACCGGTTGTCGATGGCTCCTCCTAGATCACAGTCACACGGTCTGCAGCCATCCATGTCGTTACTGAGACCCCAGTGTTCAGACTGTAGACACACACACACACACACACACACACACACACACACACAATGAACTGAAGTTTGGAGGCGTGTTAATAGTTTTCAGACCTCCCAGCTTGTTTCCATCTGTAAACAGATTTCCAGCTGTGAGGAAATCATACAGACTATTGTTTATCACATGCACACACAATAAACACCCCCCATGTACTTTCAAATATTTAAAAAAAAGTTAACTGAAAATGTATCACTTTGGCAACATAAATCACAGTTTATGATGGAGTGTTTGGGTTAAATGTAAAAGGAAGGACTGGGATGTGATTTCTTACCACACACTGGTCACAGTTATGTCCTGTCACCAGACGTTTACAGAAACAGCTTCCTGTTTCGCTCTCACAGGGGTTTCCTCCAGGACTTGTCCCCAGAGTGCTGCAGGTACAAGCTGCAAAGAAAAAAACTGTAATTAGAAAAGTCCGAAAGAAGTTCTGGTGGTACCTGCCATCATGGCGGTGGGCTATAAAAAGAGTGTGTGAGTTACAACTTGTTCCAGTTTGCTTCTTATGCTAATGTAGGGGAACACCACCTCAAAAACAGTTCACCACATCAGAAAAGAACACCTCATCTCAGAAAACAGTTCATCTCAGCTTAAACAGAAAAAAAGGGTTCACCTCATCTAAAACAAACATCATTCACGTGTTTTGTGTTTAAACTGTTTAAAATAAGATGCATCTATTCCCTTGGGAACAAACAGACTTTGCTTTACAGGTGTCCAGCTCAGCACTAACTTCTTAGTTGACACTAATGAAAGTGTAATACAAAAACTGTCACTGTGTTAACTTCACTGCCAATATGAACTCATTTCCCATGAAACGGACAGATCGTTTAATGAGTTTTGGTTCAACTGACCTCGAAGTTTGAAACATCTGCTGAGACCTTACCTTTATCAAAAAGGAGTATTACTCCCAGGATGGGTTCCCATGCAGATAACACCATGAGAACCCCTTTGTTTAATGACATTTTCTTTTCAGGAGATGAACAGCGACACCTTTTGATGAACATTGCATGTAATTTCAAAATATGTCATACCTGAATGTTTATTCATGAAAATGTGTGTTTTAAGTAATCTCTCTTTAAGATAATCATTTGTCTTATTTTTCTCTTTTAAAAGAAGAGTGACTTTTTAAAGGCAGACAAAGAAAATGGACTTTAGATTTCATAAAACATGACCAAGAGTTAGGACCATCCCTCTTCCGAGAGGTGGACCAAAGTCAATCTGTAACACACAGACAGTTAAGTTAAGTTGCGCTTCAACTACTTCAACTTCAATCACTTCTACTTCAAGCACTTCTACTTCTCAACTTCTGCTACACACTTCTGGAGCTCAGAACTGAATAAAACACAGGTTTGCATGGAAGAGAAGCATCCTTTCTGCACAGAGACGGGACAAAAGAAACAGAAGAAACCCTGCAGAACCAGAAGCAGAACCTGCAGAGTGGTAAATCCCAGCTGACTTAAGAGCCAGTGGCCGGACCTTCGTCCCTCCAATCGATGATAAGTGACTTTTGAGGAAAAATCAGCCTTTCAGTCACCGGAGCACCTCAGCTTGCTGGTATCATTTTAAGCAGCTATGGAACATTCTGACACCTCGTTCTGGTGAGAGAGAGACTCTTCAATGCACTTTCTGGTGATCATGCATCAGAATAATCTCATCAGACAAACTACAGCTCACTTCAGACACATTTGTAACTACTCCACAAAAAGAACCAGTCCAAAAATCTGCCTTTTTAGTTTCACTGATTTGAATAATCAAGTAGACCTTTGATACAAAGCTATTTGTTATTCATTTGTTTGTTATGCATAATCTTCATCAAATATATCATAGATTATTATTTTTGTAATAAAATACATAAAATCAACTAAATTTGTGATTATTTTGGCACATCTGTGTGTATTAACTGATTTGATGCCCTTTAAACACGACAAAAGAATTCACGTTTCAGTTTACATTTAATTTGGGGTTAGAGACTGATTTTTCCTCTGAAAAGAGGTGGTGCCCACACAGCGAGGTTATTTGCATAATAAATGCATATCTTATGAGCTTAACTCATAACTGATAATTTACAATATATATACAGCCCCATTATCCCTCTACACTAATATGCCTTTATTAATGTAGAATTACAGTCAGAACTTTCCATCTGTTCATCGTGAGAAAGAATGTTCATTCATTCAACCTTTATTTAGACAGGTTAATCCCACTGAGCCTCAAGGACTCATTTACAAGAGAGACCTGATTTCAACAAAGAATGATGACAACAATGGACAACAGCGACAACGAGAACTTCAGGTCTTTTTGTAAGTTATTCCAGGAAACGAGCGGAGTAGGAGAAGGCCCTTTTGCCAAGTTCAGTGCTCACTGAGGGAACACTGCAGGTAATAATGTCCTGAGAGTGCACGCTGTAGCTGCACTCATGCAGAAACATGTAGGAGGAGATGTATGAAGGCAGCAGACCAAGAAGTGATTTAAAGATGAAAATGTACCAGTAAGAGAGTCTGCGTGAAGTCAATGATGTCCAGTTAACCAGTGAATACAGGGTGCAGTGGTGGGTACGATAATCACAGCCAGTTATGAATCTTAGTGCACCATGATAGACAGCATCCAACATCTGCAGGGTTCTTGTAGGAACGTTCATGTAAATAATGTCACCGTAATCAGTGGAGGGAAGAAAGTCACAGATGCAAGGCGTTTCCTAGCACTCAGAGTTAGACAGGATCTGTTTCTGAAAAAGAAACCCAGTTTAACTTTCAGTTTCTTTACTAGGTTTTCCACGTGAAGCTTTAAAGAGAGACCAAGATACCCAAACATTTATAGGAATCAACAAACTCAATGGGGACATGAGTTGAGGATAAAATCAGAGGAAGAAATTCTGGGACTGACTTCCTGTTTGAAAAAAGCATCCCTTTGGTTTTACCGGCATTTAGGACAAGTTTGAGGCGGAACAAATCAGTCTGGATGATGTTAAATGCAGATTTCAAAAGCTGGAAAGCCTTATCAACTGTTTTAGCTCAACAATAAACAACTGTGTCATCAGCATAGAAATGTATGGATGCGTCAAGGATGCTCTGACCTACATTACCTATGTAGATTGTAAAGAGGGTGGGTCCTATGACTGAGCCTTGTGGTACACATTGTTGAATGAGAAATAACTGGAGGAAGTACCATTATGTTGAACACATTGCCTCCGATCTGAGAGATAGTTAGTGAACCAACCAATGGTGTGATCTGAGAAACCTATTTCTGAGAGCTTATGACATAAGATGTTATGATCCACATTGTCAAATGTTTTAGACAGGTCTAAGAAAAATGCTGCATAATAATCCTTAACATCCAGTGCTTCAATAACATCATTAAGAACCTTCAGTGAAGCAGTCGTTGTGCTGTGTTGTTTCCTGAAACCAGACTGAAGGCGAGGTAAGACGTTAAACGAGTCCAGGTAATATTTGATTTGAGAGTTTATCAGTTTTTCTAGAACCTTGGCTAAAATGCAGAGTTTAGAGATTGGCCGATAGTTGTTCAGTGAGGTGGGGTCACCTCCCTTCAGCAAAGGAAGAACAAAGGCTGTTTTCCAAGTGTCTGGGATGGAGTTTTGACTTATGGAGAGACTGAAGATGTGAGTCACAGGGACTGTGATGATATGAATGGCCAGCCTTAAGAAATAAGGTGGAAGTTCATCTGGACCTGCAGATTTTTTAGGATCAAGATCTTTTAACAGTTTATTAACCTCACTGACTGAGAATGGAGAAAAAGAGAAGGTGTGATTAAATGTGGATTGAATTTTAGGAGGGATTATACATACATACATACACATACACACACACACACACACACACACACACATATATATATTCTCAAAAAATTAGCATATTGTGATAAAGGTTATTATTTTCCATATTGTAATGATAAAAATGAAACTTTCATATATTTCAGATTCATTGCACACCAACTGAAATATTTCAGGTCTTTAATTGTTTTAATACTGATGTTTATGGCATACAGCTCATGAAAACCCAAAATGCCTGTCCCAAAAAATTAGCATATTTCATCCCACCAATGAAAGACAAGTGTTTTTAATACAAAAAACGCCAACCTTCAAATAATCATGTTCAGTTATGCACTCAATACTTGGTCAGGAATCCTTTTGCATGAATGACTGCTTCAATGCGGCGTGGCATGGAGGCAATCAGCCTGTGGCACTGCTGAGGTGTTATGGAGGCCCAGGATGCTTCGATAGCGGCCTTAAGCTCATCCAGAGTGTTGGGTCTTGCGTCTCTCAACTTTCTCTTCACAATATCCCACAGGTTCTCTATGGGGTTCAGGTCAGGAGAGTTGGCAGGCCAATTGAGCACAGTAATACTATGGTCAGTAAACCATTTACCAGTGGTTTTGGCACTGTGAGCAGGTGTCAGGTTGCGCTGAAAAATGAAATCTTCATCTCCATAAAGCTTTTCAGCAGATGGAAGCATGAAGTGCTCCAAAATCTCCTGATAGCTAGCTGCATTG